TCATGAACTATAAACAATCAAGTCAGATGTGATTATTCATTTGATTTTTATACTTGATTTATATGTGAATCCCACATTTCTCCCTTGTTTATTTGTTAATTTTTTTAATAAAATGCTGAAGTGGTAGGTAGATGCAAGATAAAGGTAGAAAACATAATTTAGTGCTGTAAGAGGGCAAATGTAGATGATCAGGTGTGTGCCTGTAGACTAAGTATTAATCCAAGCTAGACAAGCTCTGCCCATTTTTTAATTGGATTATTTGCTTTTTGTTTGTGAGGTGCGTGAGCTCTTTATATATTTTGGATGTCAAGCCTTTATCGGATCTGTCATTTATGAATATATTCTCCCATACTGTAGGGTACCTTTTTGTTCTATTGATGGTGTCCTTTGCTGTACAGAAGCTTTTCGGCTTGATGTAGTCCTGCTTCATTTGTGCTTTTGTTTCCTTGCCCGGGGAGATATGTTCATGAAGAAGTCGCTCATGTTTATGTCCAAGAGATTTTTGCCTATGTTTTTTTCTAAGAGTTTTATGGTTTCATGACTTACATTCAGGACTTTGATCCATTTGGAGTTTACTTTTGTGTATGGGGTTAGACAGTGATCCAGTTTCATTCTCCTACATGTAGCTGTCCAGTTTTGCCAGCACCATCTGTTGAAGAGGCTGTTATTTCCCCATTGTATGTCCATGGCTCCTTTATCCTATATTAATTGACCATATATGTTTGGGTTAATGTCTGGAGTCTCTATTCTGTTCCACTGGTCTGTGGGTCTGTTCTTGTGCCAATACCAAACTGTCTTGATTACTGTGGCTTTGTAGTAGAGCTTGAAGTTGGGGAGCAAGATCCCCCTGTTTTGGGTTTTTTTTATTGTTGTTTTATGTGGGGGAGATGAAGGCTATGCATTAACTAAGAGTGAGCCCAAAAGCTACAGGGCATGCAGAGATGTTATCTTTTATCCCCACTGAGTCACTTTATAGAAGACAAAAATTAATTTGCATCTGAATTAAAGCCTATATATTGTGTGTATTTTCCATTATCATTTCATCTCATTCTGGATTCTTCCTGTTCCAAGTTGGACCTTTGGTACCTGGCAAAGTTTCAGTGTTTTTCTTTTCAAATCTATTGTGCCTCCTGTCCATTCTTTTCCAAATGCCTTGCTGAGGGCTGGTCGCCCCACACCTGCACAGTATCACCCCCTTTCTTACCCGTGTCTGAGATCAAGGCAGGGGACCCTGTAGGCTGGGTCCTAGGTGGGCTGGAGATTTTCTGTGACCCTCATCAAATTCCTGCCTGCTGACCTCACCACACTGCCCTCAAGGACTCTCTGTTCTCTCCGGATTAAATGCAAATGTGTGCTGTGGGCTCCTCCCCTGGCTGGTGCCAGCCAGTCTGTCCCCCAGCAAGTCTGTCATCCTATTTCAGTTCCCGCCAGCATCCACTCTCTCCCACCCTTCAGTTTTTACCTCTCTCTCCCCCAAGGGCATGGACTGTACTTTCCTGAACCGCACTCTCCTCTGGAAATGATGGAGAAATGGAAATACTCCTGTTCTCTTCCAGTGTCTCAGTGGAGGGAATTCTAGTCCTCAGGGGACAGTGGCCAATATCTGGAGACATTTTTTGGTTGTCATGACTTATGGGGCTGGTGCTGCTGGTGTCTAGTGGACAAAAACCAGTGATGCTGCCAAACACCCCTCAGGGCACAGAACCATTCCCATAGCAAAGAATGATCCAGTCCCAAATGTCCCAAGTGCCCAAGTTGAGAACCCCTGTGACTGTAATCTCTGTGAGGGCAGATATGTCTCCTTATTTTGCAGCCCGGGCTAGATGCTGTGAACAAAGTTTGTGACAAGGACACACTGAAAGCTGGCTGCCAGAGCTGGACACCAAGCCAGGAGGGGAAGGGGAGGGAAGGGAAGACACCAACCCCGAGTACCTTCAGGAGGAAGTGCCATGTGGTAAATCCCAAACGGCCTCCCGAGGCTCTCTTGCTCATGTGAGAAGGTTGCATGGAGTCCTGCCACCTCAAAGGCCAGCCCCTCTGGGATGCCGTGAGCCACTGACACATTGACCAGTAGGTCCTGGCCAACCTCCAAATGGTCAGAAGCCTGCGGTCCCGGCAGAGGCTCTGTGAAGCACACCGTGATGTTTCTGGAGGGTGCAGATGTGGTGGCATTGCTGGCGGCTCGGACCTCCAGGTGATGCATCCCTGGGCCCATCCTTTGCTGGGCTGCTCTATCCAGAGTCAGATTGTAGGGGAGTGGGCCCCTCTGTGTGGTGAATTCAGCCAGGGTAGTGCCACCCAACAGCACCGTGTAAGTCACTCCTGTTCCCAGGTGGGGTGAGAAACATTTAAGGATGTCCGTAACAACCATGCAGTAGATTATGAGGACATAGTTCAGACCCAGGCTCTGAAGTCAGGTTCTGGATATACACATGGACAGGGACACAGCTCTGTAGACATATGCGAGGATTTACACCCTGCCCCCAAATATTAACAGTGATTATCTCCTCATATTGGTTCATGGCTTTTTTCTTTTTGGGTCCTCTTTGCTCATCTGCATATTCTAATTTATTCTATGCACATGTTACCAATAAACTTAAAAGTCTGTAATAAAGGTATTAGAACATTTTGTTGCAGGGTGTCCTTGGGAAAGGAAGCCTAGAAAGGGAGCATCTTTGTGCTGATTTTTATGCATGAGAATGAGCCTCAAGTGTTGTTTTAAGCAGGATTAGGGTGAAACCAACAGGGACAATCAGCCTGTTCACATAAAGATGGTGCTCCCTTACAGACTGGGGCTGGGTGTGCTGACTGGATGCTTAGTATTCTGCTAAACTCTTAAAATTTTATTTAAATCACCAAATTAGGATTCTTTGCAGTAGGAACCAAGCTAGTGTGTTTTTTGCTTGAGCGATGGGACGCTGATAACGTGAGCGCTCTTAGAGCGGGAGCCCTCACTTCCATGTTTGCTGTTGCCTCCCATGCACCTGGCGAACAGTAGGCACTTAATTATACTTGTAGAATGAGAAAATAAGTAAGGATTATTTTGTTTCCCCAGGCGCACTGAGCAGCCATCTTCAGCCAACAAGCACGCCAGAACAGAAAGGAGCCCCACATACAGCGCTGAAGGCCCCGTTCTGACTCCACTGAGTCGAGGCTCTGAGGGAGGCTCTGGGCGTGAGGTTGGGCGGAGGCCCCTCCTCCCAGCCGCAGCTCTGGGCTGCACGGTTTACGTCAACTGGCTTCCATCCAGATCTCAAACTGGACCTGTGCCTTGGGGAAGACACTGCCTTGGGTGAGAATGGATCTTAGTTGTGGGTGTGGGGGCAGGGAGGTCACTGTTGAGAGAAGGGGTGATATTCAAAATACTTAACTCATGGGCACCAGCCAAGTAAAATGGGTGTTCTCATAAAGCAGAATGGACACTGACCAATGAGAATGGATACCTTGAGGAGTCAAAATGGACATGATGGACAATCAGAATGGATACTGTGTGACCAATAAGAATGGACATTGTGACCACTGAGAAATGTTGCTATGACCAGTCAGAATAGATGCCATGACCAATCAGCATGGACACCTTGACAAATCAAAATGGACACGATGGTCAATCAGAAAAGCATCTATGACTAATCAGAAAAGAAACTATGACCTATCAGCATGGACATGAGCCATAACTGCTACTATGGCTGTATCGGTGTGTGCAGCTGAAAATCAGCCCTGACTAGGTGCAACATAATTTTGCCAGGATGGTCCACACTGGCTGCCCTGAGATGGGCTCCGGCCCACCAGAAAGCATCCCAGTCCCATTCAGATTCTTCCAGTAAACTGTGGCTTGGAAGTGCAATTCTTGCGATGGGACTAAGGGCATGCAAAGTAGGACCTTTGGGAAGCAGGAATCTCTCACTAGCTTTGCGATTTGGGGCAAATTTTAGAAACTTTTCTCCATTTTTTCACCTGTAAAACAGAGATGACAATAATACTACTGGGTGGACTAGAGTATGTAAAGCGCTGAGAGCAGTTCCTGGCACACACTGGGTACTAAATAAATGAATAGCTAAAAAACTAACTCAATAAGTGATTGCTATTAGTACTTAATAAAGCCTGAGAGTTGGGTGGAGAGATTTGGGTAAACCAAGTTTGAGGAAACCTTGACCATTTCTGCAGACTCACCTCCATTGAGCATCACCTGAATCCACAGAGGGTCCCCAAAGACAGCCTGGCAGAGAGGGTTGGCTCCTGACTGGGACAGGCCAGAGCACCCAGTCACTCCGAACCTCTCCATCTTGTCTCGAATTGTCACTTGCTTCTGAGCCATCACATGCCACTCACTGGTTGTACATTCTGCAAACACGGTGAGTTTCCCAGGGGCTGTGAACTGGTGAGTCACATTGCTGGACAAACTGCTGGCAACAGTCAGAAACATTATCAGCATTGGGGATACACAAACACGGGCATTCACACATGCCTGCACACATGTCCTCACCCCCTCCCACCTCTCCTCTGCGAAGATAAATATGAAGAAAAAGGTCCTACACAATCAAGCTTTCATTGTTCATAAAGGTTACATCGAGACGTTCAGACGAGGTAGGAACAGAAGAAACCAACTAGGGTCACCAGCCCTTTTTCTGCCATTTATTCCCTTTTTGTCTCACATAATCCCTCTTCCTGGGTCTTCTTGTTTCATCTATAAAATACTATGCCCCAGCCTACCTTTCTGAGCCTTCTTTTCCCCATCTGTAAAATGGGATCAGATTCCAAACATATCAGAATAATGGATATGTTTTGTTTCCCATTTTCCTGAGGGGACTAATTAAAAATCTCTAGTATGGCCTGCAAAGATCCACATGGCCTCCACTCCTGACCTCCTCCCAGCCCCTGCCGCACTCCTCTAACTAACTCTGCGTTCACTCACACCTTTTCAATTCCTAACATGCCACTTCTTGCCCGCCTCAAAGCCTGTAAGTGCGCTGCTCTTTGCTGAGAAGGCTCTTGCCTGTCTCTTTGCTCATATTAATGCTCCTTCAGTTCTCAGCTTAAACATCACCTCTTCATGGAAGCCTTCCTTAGGTTCCCTTTATAATTGCCATAGCTTCGCTGCTTCTCCTCGGTGACACTCAGCCCTTGTGTGCTTGCTTATTCACTGTCATTCTCCCCTGCCAGGCTGTCAGCACAGTTTCTATGTAGTTCTCTGTTCCATACTTGACAGAGCCCAGCACAAAGTGAGTGCTTGAGAAATATTTGAGAAATGGACATATTTGTTAAAAAGCTTAGGAAACAGTAAACTGATTCTTAGTCTGCTCAAGATTAAGCCCACCATAGCCTATTTCTTTCATTGATTACAACTAAAAACCTGAGCAGAATTCAAAAAGAAACTACCAAAGGACTCTGAAAAGAAAAGAACAGCAGGCAGGTTGGGGAGGAAAGTAAAAACTTTAAGAATCACCCATAAAGATGGGAGTTTCCTGTTTTGTGTATGTGTGGGTTTTTTTTAAATTTTTATCTCCTTTATCTATTGGCTTTGCCTCTAGGGTAGCCTGAGTCATGGAATTACACAGTGAATGAAGAAAACACAAAACCCCAAGAGAAATTCCTTCTGTTTAGCCAGAGAACCAGGTAAAGGGACTCAGGTAGCTTGAGAATATAGAGGATATACTGGTTTTTATTTTGCATTTTTCTCTTTTTTTCTCTCCTGGCCCTGCCACTCTCTTGGGGCAGCGGCAGCTCTGACTCTGTCCCCAAGATAAAAGTTATGTCTTTACCCAGAGGAACCATGAAAAGGGAACCTGCAGGGCTGGACAGTATGGGGGAAATCCTGAAAAGGAGAGATTTAGAGAAGAGGATTCTCTACTTCTGTATATGGTCCAACATAAACCAAGAGCTCGCCCACAAATTACTCATGGGCCTAACAGACCCAAAGAAACAGCAAAGGTTTTGTTTGAACTAAAATAGCAAAGTAACTATCACTCTGAGTGGTAAATGAGGGAGGCAGACCCAAACAGCTTTGAAAACTGAACCGACATGGGAGCCATCACTAACAAAAGGCAAGTCAGAATGTGTAGTCTGAACCTAAGGGGGTTGGTCGCCTGCTAAAACAAAACAAAACAAACAAATCAACATTTTCCAGAAGATTTTAACAGGACCCAGAGTCTCAGAACCTACTATTGAAAATATCCAGAATACAACCCAAAGTTATTTGACATATGAAGAATGAGGAAAATGTGACCAAATTTCAAGGGAAAACGTAATCAAGAGATTTCAGCCTTGAGACAAGTCAGATGTTGGAATTATCAAAGATTTTAAATCAGCTATTATACCTGCGCTTTGTGAGGTAAAAGTAAAACCCTCTTGAAATGAGTGGAAAGATAGAATTCTCAGAAGAGAAATAGAAACTATAAAAAAGAACCAAATGGAAATTTTAGAAATGATTAACACAGTATCTGAAATTTAAAAATTCACTGGATGAGTATAATAGTGGAATAGAGATGTGAGAAAAGAGCCAGTGAACTTGAAGATAGAGCAAGAGAAATTATCCAATCTGAGGAACACAGAGAAAAAGTATATACTGACTTTTCAAAAATGAGCAGTGTCAGCAGTCTGGGTAATAAATATCAAAAAGTAAATGCTTATTCCTCATTGATGCACCTGTGAAAAGAAAGATAGATTGGTGTACAATAATGTATTTGAAGACATAATGGCTGAAAATGTCCCAGATTTGATCAAACACATACATTTAAAGATTCACAAAGTTCTGTGAACTTCCAAATGGAAAAAACTGAATGACAAGTCCTGCACATATAATAACCTGCTGAAATCCAAGATAAAGGAAAAAAAATCTGGAAACCAACCTGAAAAAATGACATATTCCATATAGAGAAAATGGTGATTTGAATGACTGTAGATTTATTCTCGGAAACTATGGAGGTCAGAAGACACTGAATGCCATCTCTGAAGTGTTGAAAGAAAAGAATTGTCAACACGTAATTCTGTATCCAGCAAATATAATGCCATTCTCAGGAATAGAGAAATTTTCTAGAGGAATTTGTTGACAGAAAATCTGCTCTAAAGGAAATGCTAAAGAAAGCTTTTCCAGTAATACCGGAAGGAAACGTGGAACTCCAAGAATGAAGGGAAAGCATAAGAAATATGAAGAAAAGTATAGACTATTTTCCTCCTCTTAAGTTCTCTAAAATATACGTGACTGTTGAAAGGGGTTTTCAAGATATGTAGATGTCCTGTGTATGATAAAGGAGGGAAGGCAAAGGGATGCTAATAAGGCTTCAACATTGTACCTGAAGTGATAAAATATTAACTCTAAGTGAAAAGTTAGATGTTTATATTACATTCTCTGAAGCAACTATTAAAAAAGTAATACAAAGAGATATAACCAAAAAAGCCAATAGATAAGTTAAAATGGAATACCAAAGATATTCAAATAATCCAAAAGAAGGCAAGAAAGGAGAGGAACAGGGGGGAAATAAACAGAGGGTGTAAATAGAAGGAAAATAACAAAACAGTAGACCTAAATCTAACTCTATCAATAATGGCATTAATTGTGAATGGTCTACATACCCCACTTATTGTGATATTAAAAAACAAGAGTCAATCATATATAAGAAGCCCACTTAAATGTAATGCTATAGAGAGGTTAAAGGTATAAGGATGCAAAATATACCAGCAAACACTAATTCAAAAGAATGCTGCAGTGGCCCATATTAATATCAGGCAATGCAGATTTCAGAACAAGAAAACACTAACTCTTTATGGAAATGTAAAGGATGGTTTTAAACAGCAAAATCTAGCCTGTTTTTCCATGATCTGTCTAGAAGATGCAATATGTCCCATTTTTTTGAACTCTGGTGCCAACTGAAATTGTCCAGGACTAAAAAGCAGAGAAATGGATTTTTCCAGATCTCTCTCCCAGTGATCTCACCCAAGGGAGACCGCAAAGTGGTTTCAGAAACTGTTGCCAACAAAAGGAAAATATGTTCAGAGTACAAAACAATGGAGATGACAACTTAAAAACTTGTTTTATGATCCTATGACCCAGCAATTCCATTCCTGGGTATAAACCCAACAGAAATGTGCACATATGTACACCAAAAGAGGTACTGAATATTCATGACTGAACTGTTTGTAATAGCCCAAATGGGAAACCACCCAAAATTCCTATCAACAGTAGAATGGATAAGTAAATTGAGGTATATTCATATGATAGAATGTTATACAGCAATGAGAAAAAAGAAATCACAATTATATACAACAGTATGGATAGATCTCAAAAACATCCTATTAAGCAGAAATCAAACACAAAAGAAAATGTTATTTATGATTCCATTTATATAACTTTCAAAAAGGTCACACTAATCAGTAATGTTAGAAATCAGTATCCTTGGGGGCTTGAGGGGGCTTTCTGGAGACTGGTCATATTTTGTTTCTTGATCTGGGTGCTGGTTACATGGGTGTATTCATTGTGTAAAACTTAATTGATTTGTATCTTTTTGTTCACTTTTATCTTCGGCTTCAATAAAAATTAGCTCAAGACTCTGTTATTCAGTGATTTGTACTCTTTGGTATTTGACATTAATTGGATGTAGCTTTTCTTTACAGAGAGAGAAAGTGGAAAGGAAAGCTCACATTTTTGGATTTTGCTCATAGTGCCTAATTATTAAGAATACAACAGTCTGTGTCATGCTGTCTGTGTTGCTTACAAGTTGCCAGCCAGCTTGGTAGATGGAGCCATTGGACTAAATCGGGCAATGGGGTGGGGTGGAAAATGTAGGAAACTGGAAATGAGATCTACTCAGGCTCCATCAGTTACCTGCATAACCTAATGACAGCTAACCTGAGTCTCAGCGCTCTTGTCTATCAAATGGGAGGAGAGCCGTTCCTGGCTGGGTTGTTATAATGTTTAAATGAGACATTGGCTGAGTAAGTATTTGGCATGTCATAGACTCAAATATTGTAGCTTTTTGTATAATACGATGACATTTAGCCTATTAAAATAAAAGTAGTGTATCCTTTTATGTAATATAAACATAATAGTAGCAATTACCCATTTTTTAGAATCATCTGTGCCAGTTACTTTATTCTTTGTAGCCCCATTTATTCCTTAAATTACTGAGTGAGTATTAATAACATTTGCAATAATATTAACAATCACAGATCATGTTAACTGTGTGGGCTAAAGATTTTTATATCCTTGGAAGTGGAAGTCACCCAGATTGTATCGTTCAAGGCCTGCATCCCGCCAGCACCCCTGTGCGTTGAGAGCTCACAGCTGAACCCATCTCCAGGAATCCCCTTAGCCAAAGGAGCTGCTCCCTCCAAGGTAACGTCCTCTCCCCTGGGGAATCTGGCATCCAGTGGCTGGGTACAAAAACTCTGTGGTCTCAGTTCAGGACAGGTTCTAGCTGGAGCACTTTCTGTGGAGACCCGAGGGGCCTCTGCTGCTACCGCATCCCAGTCCAACTTCTCCCCTGCCCCATCTAAGAACTCCCCAGGAGCCCTGCTGCACCCTAAATCATGGCCTGTTTCCTGGT